TTCAATAGAACAGCCACTAATCCCAACAAATTCCAGCAGCAGATCCGTAGAGATGAATGCAAACTACAAACAATAACTAATATCAAGCGAGGCGAGGGAACACAGAAGCAAAAAAATAACCGGGGGGAAAAAAACCAACAGAAAAATAAAAAGAAAAAGCAAAACAATCTCACAAACAAGCATAAAAAAACCCAATATACTCAACAATCAAGCAAACAACAAAACGCCAGAGAGAGAAAAAAAATTTGGATAGTGAAGAGAGAGGTGTATATGGATTTAGAGCAGGGGATTGGAAATTAGATATATAAGTAGGTTGAAATTTTAATGGTTAAAAAGAAGGAATAGGGAAAATCTAAAGCAGGAATAGGGTAAGAGAAACAGGACAACAAAAGGGGAAAAGTGAGGAAGAGAGTTTTGGCGTTAAAGTAAAGTTGAGGTAGAGTAAAATGATGCTAAAGGAAAGATGAAAATAGAATGTAGAACACTAATCCCAAAATAAAATAAAGAGAAAATAAAATGACACTATAAAAAAAGGTAAAATGGTAGTAGTAATAATACTGGTTAAAAATAAAAATGTAGTAATTAAAAAGGTAAAATCAGGTGATGAAAAAAGAAAAAAAATTAGTTTCTTGAGTAAAAGGTGAAAAAAAATGTGCAGTAGTGAAGGCCCTTCAATTCCTCTACTATTCTGTTTGGCACACCTTAGTCCTGTCAGGTATTCAGGAGAGTGTTGAAGTTCCCTGCAATACACTGTTTCCTCCGTGTTGTAAACCACAGTCCTGATTTTAAGGCAGGCCGTATTTGTTTCCCAGACTGCCTTTATTTGTGTTTACAGAAGAGTCAGTCTGTGGTTCAGCCCCTGGGTGGCAGTGTTTCTGGATTGACCTCCAAGGCTGTAAGTCCTCTCTAGGCAGTAGTTAGGTTTTGGGAGAGTCGACTGCCCTTGAACTGGTTCTTTGATCCCCACTCTGATTCCCAGGTTCCACAAAAACAACTTTCCCCTGCAGTCTCTGTGAGTGACCCCAAGTGGGCAATCCTATGTATTGGGTTTAATAATCAAACACAAAGATTTAATGGGGAGATAGAAAAAAGAAAAAGAGCCTGAGAAGGTGCGCGAACTGGCAACCCTCCACCATCCAGCTCTGTGCGCAGTCTCTTCCACATGTCCTCTCTCCCCTGGCACTAAGCAGCTGGCACACTGGCAAAATCCGAGGCTGCCTTTTTGCACCCAATCCAGCTATGGGCTTATTTTTAGAGTTCCCTTCTGCCAGCAGCCCTGCGGGACCCCTTCCACATTCACGGATCACGCTGGCCCCAACGGCCGCGGACTTTGTGGGGCGCAGAGTTCCCCCCGCGAGTTCCTCTCTCCAACCTGGATTGCAAACCGCACCTTTAGGTGAAATCTGACCTTTCCATGAGGAGGAGCAGGGCTTGTCTGAGTCCATGTAGTCACACTGCTTGAGATGATCCCTGGATGCCATGGTTGTAGGGTCTCTGGATGTATACGCTTCCGCTATCAGCCACTCAAGATGGTGTGGTCTCCGCGGCTGAGCCGGCCGCTCTGGGAGAGATTTCAGCAGCAGTGGAGGCTGCCCGTTTAGGGGAGCCTGATCCGGCAGTCTCCAACAGTCCCCTTTCTCTTGGAGTCCTCTGTCTTTCCCGGCTGCAAACTGTCTCCCAGCTGAATCTCCTCTGCCAATTTGGGCTAGATGTTACTGGTTTCAGCTGCTCACCCTATCTGCTCCGGGACAAGGCACGGGACATGTCTGTCTATACCGCCGCCATTTTAGATCTCTGTCTATTTTTGTTTTTACCTACCGTACTCATATTACCCCAATTTACCACATTGTGTCCTGTTTGGGCAGGACAGAGAAAGACTCAACAAACCTTATTATCTTAATTGGGATTATCCAGATTTTAGTTATGATAAATTCTAACTTCAGAAACTATATTTTTAACTTAGATCCTTCAAACATAACGTCAGAGGAAATGCTCGTGCTATGATGAAATTGATGAACAGTGCTGACATTGCAAAACATTCTCTGTCAACCTTGGGAAGTGCCAATTGTTTCCTTGACTCGTTATATGAAGGTCAAGATTTTGACTGCAATGTGTCCAGGTAAAACTGAAGTTCAAAAAACCTTCATAAAAATGTCAACTGCTTTCATGTTTAGGTGTAATTTTCTCACTTTTGGGTTTTTTCTTCATTTGAAATTTATTCACCATCTATAAAAGCAGAGCTTTCTTGTCTTTACTTCTGGGATCCAGTTTTTTGTCAGAATAAGTAACTTCTCAAAATAATTATGTCAGGTGTGATTGTTATTTGCAAATAGCAGTGTCTGAAAAAAATCATTCCAGATCTTTTAAAGAATGGTGAGAGGAGACTTAAGTTTGAGATTTTCAGATTTCTCTTACTAATTGGCAGCCCCACCTATATGGCTCCTACTTTATTGCTTAAATTTGATATGGGGCTTGCACATGGTTCAAGGTTGTTTACTATAACTTAATCATTAACACTATGTGGTAGCCTGTATTCTAAGTATCAACTCATCAAATCCTCACAACAACCCAAAGATAATGTCCTTATTTTACTTATGAGAAAGCTGAAACACAGAGAGGTTTAATTATTTGCCCAAGGTTACACAGCTAGTAAGTGATGGACCTGGGATTCAAACCTAGCCAGTTGGACCCCAAAGTTCATACTCTGTAATTATTACACTTCTAGAGGCCTGGTGCACAAAAATTTGTGCACTCTCGGGGGGGGTGGATCCCTCAGCCCGGCCTGTGCCCTCTCGCAATCTGGGACCCCTCAGGGGATGAACACCTGCTGGCTTAGGCCTGCTCCCCGGGGGATTGGGCCTAAACTGGCAGTCAGACATCCCTCTGGCAGCCCGGCAGCCCTCGGGGGATTTCCACTTGCCAGCGGGTAGCAGGCCTAAGCTGCAATCTGACATCCTTAGTGCTGCTGAGGAGACAGGAGAGTCTCCCACCACCACCGCTGTACTGGCAGCCATCAGCCTGCCTTGTGGCTGAGCAGAGCTCCCCCTGTGGGAGCGCACTGACCACCAGGGGTCAGTGTGTGTCATAGTGACCAGTCATTCCCAGTTGTTCTGCTGTTAGGGTCAGTTTTCATATTACCCTATTATTATATAGCATAGAGGCCTGGTGCATGGGTGGGGTCGGGCTGGTTTGCCCTGAAGGGTGTCCCGGATCAGGGTGGGGGTCCCCGCTGGGGTGCCTGGCCAGCCTGGGTGAGGGGCTAATGGCTGTTTACAGGCTGGTCAAGCCCCCCCAATTGGGGACCCTCACCCCATGGCGGTTTGGCCAGCCTGGGTGAGGGGCTGATGGCTGTTTGCAGGCTGGCCACACCCTCTTTAGGTTGGAGGGGTCCCCACTGGGTTGCCTGGACAGTCTGGGTAAGGGGCTGAGGGCCGTTTTCAGGCTGGCCAAGCCCCCTGGCGACGGAAGCTCCCAGCCTCCTTTTTTTCTTTTTCTTTTTTTTTTCATTCTGAGATTTATTTTCCTTCTATAATTGAAACTTTGTAGTGGGAAGCTTGGCTTCCTGCTCACTCCAGCTCCGTGGCCACAGCCTGCTGAAAGCAGGTATCTGGGGTTATTATCTTCTATATT